CTTAAAATCTTCACATATCTTGTTTAACGACATTTCGGATAGTTTTACTACATTTCAAATTTAGACTGGCGGCGAAGTTCTTCTATCCAAAACATCAAATTAAAAAAAACAATTATTTATGACTATGCTCGTTTCTATGATGAAAAACTTGATTGTTGATAGTTATAATAGTTGACCGACACCCCAAGGCAGACTTCGTGCAGACCCATCTTGCTTTTGAGCCTTTAGTGGCTCCAATACGTGCCCTATTATATCGATATGGACCTATCATTATAACAGGATTGCCCAAACGCGTTGTACTAAAAACATAGCCTGAAAATAACCCTGAGTTTAGTAGATTTCAACACAAGTTAACTTAAAGGAATTAACAAAGAAAGAGAACTAGTCAGTGTAACTCAAACTTCTTAAGTTAAATTGTTTAATACAACAATCAGAAAACACAAAAAGCCAACTAATTACTATCTTCCTCAATAACAAGTAAAAAAATTATTAAGAAGAGTAAAGTAAGAATTTGTCATGAATGTGAATAGAATATTGTGTTTTGAGTTATTATATTACGTTCTTTTTTGTTGTTAATGTCTGATAAAATGATAGACAATTTCACAAATTACTCACAGATTATTTTGTTTTGACATTATGAAATAGACTATCATATTTATGTTATTAGTAGCCTTTGCCCGCGTGTGTCGATAATTGCGGCAAAAGTGGCCTAGACGTTTAAGCGTAACAAACAAACAAACTCATTTTCACATTTATAATACAAATATGGATTGTGTTTAGTACAGATTCTTATTGTTTAGGCCAACCTTAGCATGTATTATTTTGTGAAAATGTAAGCAGTCTCTATCTCTAATAAGACACAGATTATGTAGTGGCAAAAACAACACCAAAACACACAAAGAAAATTGATTTCCCTGTGATATTCACATCAAAAACATCAACAAACTTATCTTGCTCTAAAATTGGGAAATATGTGCATTTCACCCATGTCGTCACTCGATGACAAAATTGCATGTAACTGTTTTAGGGACAAATGGAGTACGGCTACGTAATTATTAAATGTAATTGTAAAACAATTCTTAACCAAAACGTCTCATTGACATTTTGAGTAGATAATCATATTTTTATCTTTTCTGCATCATATGTCCAGCTTACAGGCCAGTTGAACATATTAAACATTGTTTTGTCCATTCCAACCATCTCAGTTAAAACATTTTCGTGTAAATAAATCAAATTAAAAATAAATAAATCGTGTAAATGATATACATATAATAATACTATAATATATTGAGTCATCTAGATACAAGTATAGGTAGTAATGAATTATCTTAATCGAATGTACTGAACTTACAGCAATAATTTTAATGATTATGATCTTTTCTATGTTGAACTATCGTATTATCGATGGTTATGATAGTCGATCGACAACCCAAAGAAGTTCTGCTGCACACCCACCGAGCTTGTGGGCCTTTATTGGACTTGGTACGATTGTAGCGATGAAGCCCTATTATAATAACAGGATTTCCAGCCTTGGTTGTACTAAAAATTGCATCTGAAAATTACATTTTTTTTTTGTAGACTCATTACAATTTCTATAAAATAATGGTACTTGTTTTATAGTTTTAAGAGTCTGTAGAAAGGATTGAATGCAATGAAATACTTCTCTATTTTGTTATACTGTATTCACTTTGTCGTTGTCTTTTAAAAAAGAAATTCAAAAATGTTTCATGTTACACAAATCCATGTGCAAATTTTTTTGAGTTTACTCATTCGTTCCCAAGTAATTAATGTGGGTATTTTTCATAATGTCCAAAAAGTTTGAAAAATGCACAATATTAGTTGGGAATATAACATAAGCGATTAAAATAAGCAAACTGATTTAATTAATTAAATAAGCAAACTGATTTAATTAATTAAATTATAGGGTAGTTATAAGCAGGGTAACGTTTTATTCAATTGTTTTAAGGATAACATACCTAATTATTATAAAGCCAATATTGTTTCGACATGTCCCTTACGGTACAGTTAGCTTCAGATAGATATCATGTCGTCGGCAGGTCGATATTACTTTGATGGCAATTCAATTGGCATTGTTTTTTAATTATGTAGGTATTTGCAAACATGCACCACTTTTACAACCACGTCTACTTTACTCTAATCTCTTTAGTATTCATACTTCAGTATTCTAGATACACACATATTATGGATAAATTACAACAAAACAGACTAAATCAACGTGCTCTTCACAGAGCTATTTGACCTGAATACACACACAACTGTGGGAATTGAACCCATGACCAGCAGTGATGCAGCTTAAGGGTTATACAATGTGGTGAATGATGTTTTCATTTCTAGTATCACGGACTTGGACATATGGATCTATAGTCGCTATCACTACAATTAGTGATTATGTTCGTTTCTGTGTTTAATAATCACATTATCAACCGTCATAATCGTTGAACGACATCCCTTCGGCGTCATAGTGCAAGTCCATCGCACCTGTGGTCCCTTGTTCATTCTAGCACGGTTGTACCGATATGAACCTATGATAATAACCGGGTTACCAGCTTTTGTGGTACTAAAAACAGGTTCTGAAAACAAAATGTTACGTTTAGTTTAAAATACCATTTTCATTAAAATAATAAAAGTGTTTAGAAAACACTATTTTGAAAGTAGATAGAAAAGGCGCTTTTTTAATTAATAAATAACTGTTAAAAAAGTATGACCGTCTTCAATGTGCCTACAGTATGATGAATTGTATTAAACTATATCAATCATTCTTAATTTTAATTCTCGACTGGAATTTTTCTTCAAATTTGAATGAGCAAACAGAAAGTTTATTAAATATTTCAACTAAAAAGGACTAATCTAAATGACAGTGTTCTGAAGTAATAAACAAAGAATAGTAGGTGCGGCCGAATCGCCAAAAATTTTAAAGTGGGATTCAAAACTGGGATCCAACGAAACTAAATCGAAATGTGTACCTCCTCCTTTTTTGAAGTCAGTTAAAAAAGGGCAGCCGTTAAGTTATTTTGTGACATAATCAACAAGCAAGCATTTTTAATAGATTGACGGCAAATTATAAACAAAAAGTATTTCAGGTCACTGAAAATAAATAGGCAAACAGTTTAAACAGCAATTAATCATGGTTGTGTTCATTTTTGTGTAGGACAATCACGTTGTCAACAGTAAGGATTGTCGAGCGACATTTTCTCCGTTTTCGAGTACAGGTCCAACGTATTCTTGGGCTTGTGTCGCAGTTAACAGCTCGATTGTACCGGTACGGACCTATTGTTATGGCAGGGTTACCTGCTTTTGTTGTAGTGAATTTATAGTCTGAAAAGCAATACCTTCTTTATTATTGTATAACTTTATTTAACATATTTTTTACATAAAAAAGTTTTTAAACTTTTATGAAAAAATTAAACCAAGAGAACATATATTTCAACAATGTACTTTATTAATGTAATAAAACAACTTTATTCATATTACACGCAAATAAATACAACAACGTATATATGTTAGGAAAGTTACGTACTTCCCTAACGATAGGGGTTAAAGTATGAAATTGTCGTTATATGGTTATAGATACTTTGAATTGACATAAAACCTTCATAGTGTGAGCTTTTCGTGTGAACTTTTTTCACATTATACCTATGACTATATTACAATTATGTACTATTCTTTAAAATAATGCAGTATTAGATTTTCGACTTTGAATTGTTTTTTTATTCAGCTTAGACGTGAAAGGTGGATACTTCGAAGTTCCAAGTGATTTTTGAATACGAGTTCCGACGCGGAACGAAGTCGACAGAAACGGCTCGCAATGTCATCGCTGCAATTGGAAAAGAGCTGCTAATAAACGCACCGTGCGTTGTTGGTTTAACCGCTTACGTTATGGAAACTTCGCCTTCAAGAACGAAATACGTGGAAGACCGCCCACACAGGTGAATAACGCTGAATTTAAGGAGATGGTGGAAGCTGATCCGAGTCAAACAACCCAGGAATTACACTCACACTGCACGAGAAACCGTTGTAACTCTACAGGAGCTTCAGTTAGAAACCATACAACGTCCTTCGTACTCGCCTTGACCTTGAGACCTTGCACCAACGGACTACCCTTTTTCTTCGTGATGTGGACAATTTTCTACGTGATAAAGAAATTTCTTTCCAGGAGGCAGTACAAAATGCTTTCACACAGTTTGTCGAATCTATAGATCCCCAGAGTTCTATCGTAAAGGCATAAATGAGCTTCGGTTTAGTTGGCAGCAATGTATAAAATGAGTGTAAATATTTTAATTATATAAATATGTTACATCTTAGAAAACAAAGAGTTTCAATATATTAGTACAAATAGGCAATTTCATACCCCTAATATATTAAAAATAAGAAAATGAATTTAAAATTAAGTTTATCATAACGCAAACATAAAATATGTTTTAGTTTCTTATTTTCTAGTGACTTTGAATCCCACAACTTTTAAAAGATTCACATCCTGAATCTAATACATATCGGCTT